TAGGTCATTTCGGGACTAACATGGTTTTAATTTTTATTTCAATAATTCGCTTGCGCATAGGGGTCTTTAGCAGTGGGAGGAAACGGGAGGACCCAGAGAAAACCCACGAGGTTGGACAGGCGACCCTACTCCTTGTCACGTACAACCGGGGATTCGAAACCACGCCAGTCGACTCAATGACAGACTTTATGATACAGCGCGCGCACGCATCTTTTACGGAGATATAAGAAACAGATTGATGAATTAGATTTATATAACTTGGAAGAAACAAAGTCAACAATATTTTATTTTTGCAAAAAGTTTATTTTAGGAATATAATTAATAGATATGATATTACTTTATACAAATTTGTAAAAAAAAACATGGCGCAGAAATACCTAGATATATTATATAATAAAAACACACATAAACAAATCGCTCTATTCACGTTTCACAAGTTGTTATAATCATCACAATATAGTCCTCTAAACACGTCATCAATAGCTATTTGTTTTATAAATACTGGGGCCTGTTTCACGAAATTTTAACTAAAGATAAAATCCAAATTTTAGTAGATACTTCAATTTTGATGGCGAAGCTCTAAAATCAATCTAATATTATCCAATCAAATTCCTAAAATTTGGATTTTATCTTAATTAAAATTTCGTGAAACAAGACCCTGATTTATAGATTCGTCTCCAGTTAGTAGATACAGAGGTTATTCATAGCCGCAGTATTTAGGGTTTAGGGTTAGGGTACGGTTAAGGAAACTTTTTTCTTGGCACAGTTTGTATAAGGAGTGTTTGGTAGCTGCAATGAGTTAGAGTTAGGTAACCAGTTCTTAAAAAGTATTTACGATGTCATTGTAAATCCTAAATACAAGATTTACGATGTAACTGTAATTCATAAATACAGTATTTACGATGTCATTGTAATTCATAAATACAGTATTTACGATATCTTTGTAAATCATATATACAATATAATCCTTATAAGACATATAGAAATAGATTTCACTAAAAATAAAACACACTTATATGGATATACTACTTCTGAATTTATTAACATGCTACGTTTCGATACACATACAGATATAGTTTTCAAGCAAATATTTGCTTGAAAACGATATCTGTATGTGTATCGAAACGTAGCATGTTAATAAATTCAGAAGTAGTATATCCATATAAGTGTGTTTTATTTTTACATATATACAATATTTACGATGTCATTGTAATTCATAAATACAGTATTTACGAGGTAATCGTAATTCATAAATACAATATTTACGATGTTATTGTAATTCATAAATACAGTATTTACGAGGTTATCGTAATTCATAAATATAATATTTACGATGTTATTGTAATTCATAAATACATTATTCTATGAGGTAATCTGTATACGTGAACACTGTGATTATGAATAACCTCTTTCAATTAATATATCACCCATCCAAATCTAATGTGACAAATTGCATAATGTTACACCACTGTGTTGCTTATTCATATTAAAGACATTATACCCAGGTCTGATATACAGCCAGTATTTCACCCTAGGCCTGATATACAGCCAGTATTACACTGTGGGCCTGATATACAACCAGTATTACATTCTAGGCCTGATATAAAACCAGTATTACACTCTGGGCCTGATATACAACCAGTATTACACACTGGGCCCGATATACAACCAGTATTGCACCACAGGCCTGATATACAACCAGTATTGCACCCTGGGCATGATATACAGCCATTATTTCATCTAAGGCCTGATATACAGCCAGTATTACACCCTGGGCCTGATATACAACCATTATTAGACCCTGGGCCCAATATACAACCAGTATTACATTCTTTTCCTGATATACAACCAGTATTACGCCATGGGCCTGATAGTAATACAACTAACATACATGTGACTATTATAAATAAAAAATTATCACGAATCGATACTGAAAAAAAATATAATTCATAAAAAGAAAAAAAAAAGAAAAGTTTTATATACAACATTCACATTTTGATTGATGAAGAACCACAGGGACATTTACCAATATTTTACACAGGGGCATGTAGCAAAATACAATTAAAGAATTTATTGCCTATGGGGGAACATAATATCTATGATTTCATAGTTGAATTAGATTTAACCGAAGGTAGCGAATTGATTCAAATCTATTCATCCATTTTCTGGATAGGACGAAAACTACATCTACAGGTAATCTCAAAACCAGGAATGCATTATCTTTCATCAATAACAGAGCTAACCTGGTGTATGGTTTAACTCAGTGCCTGGTTGACCCAGTACCTGGTTTTATTTGGTACCCTTTTTGACTTGGGACCTGGTTTGGCATGGTGTCTGGATTCACATGGTACCTGGTATGACCCAGGACCGGTTTGACTTGGTACCTGGTTCGACTCAGTACCGAGTTTCACTTGGTACCAAGTTTAACTTGTACCTTTATTTGGCTTGGTTTCCTACTTGTTTTAGGCACAAAATAAGTGACCATAAATCTTGAAAACACAATTACCTCAACTAAATGGTCACCTAAAAATGGTTTCTAAATCTGGACCACTGAGTGATAGTCCCATTGGGCATTGCTTTATGAACAAAAATGTTTGTATAATACGATTAGTTACATGTCCCTGTAGTTAAGATAAATTTCAAACAATGAGTATTTATAAAATAATCTCTATAACAATATGATAATAATTACAAATGTATGATAACAAGATGGTCGAGTGTAATAAATCGTCTAGAAAATCTACAACTGCTTAGCAACAGATGTAATAATAACAAGATGGTCGAGTGTAATAAATCTTCTAGAAAATCTACAACAGATGTACAATAACAAGATACCAAGTAGACTGCACTAATTACAGATGTAATAATAACAAGATGGTGAAGTGTAATAAATCTTCTAGAAAAATGACAACTTCTTATCAACAGATGTAATAATAAAAAAATATCTAGTAGACTGCAATAATTACAGATGTAATAATAACAAGATGGTGAAGTGTAATAAATCTTCTAGAAAAGTGACAACTCCTTAGCAACAGATGTAATAATAACATAATGATTGATTGTAATAAATCTCCTAGAAACATGGCAACGGCTTAGCAACAGATGTACAATAATAAGATGGTCGACTGTAATAAATCTATGACTATCATGTAGACGGAGTCAAGGACAATAATAACATTGGTTTTTACCAAGTTTCACATGATCATATTAGTTATGGTACTTCCAGATTTTTGACAAAAAGATGGTAGAAATTCTGCTGTCTGGGAAAAGAAATTTCCCCTCATAGCACACTTCAGAAAAGTAGGATATAAAACTCCCAGTTAGTGATACCCTGACACTTTTGTCCTATGTGCACTTCATGGGCATGGCACTTAAACTATTTTTTAGGGAATCCAGAATTTTCTAGAGAGATTAAGCGTCCCTATGTTCCATATATATCAAACTTGCCATACTGGGCTAATGAAGAGAGGTATACGCCATACAGTGTGCTATGAGGGAAATTTTACCTGTACAGTGGCGCTAGAGCCTACTCTTATATCGAATTTCAACTGCAAAGGGATCTTTAACGTGCACACCAATGTGTACATGGGACCTCGGTCCTCGTCCTATCCAAACGACCAGACGCTCCATCCTGTACCACTGAAAAGGGGAAATCACGCTGGAAAATCTTGATAAAACTTTCACGGTCAACACCAGAATCATACCCGCGACCTCCAGGCTAGCGAGCCAGGATCTTACTTACTTAGCCACTGTGGCTCCCTCAACCTACAGAAAGGTCTAGAATTATTCATAACCTACAGCACAATCTAGATGAACTGGTATCAGAAGACATGAAGGTTTTGTTTACAACTTATTTTAAGGTGAGCTAGGGTTAGGGTTACTGGCCATCTGAATTATATATATACCGGTACCAAAAGATCTAATTTCAATTCGATTGAATGAAAGACAAATGATATTATTTACATACATGAATAGAAAATACACAAAATAAATACAAATATAATTTAAACATGTATACAAATATCTAAAATCCTAAATTTACATTGTTATTTGATGAGGACTGGACCAGTGGCAATTGTTATGGGAGGTAGCCATCATCATTGTTATTTGATAAGGACTGGACAAGTGGGAATTGTTATGGGCACTAGCCATCATTCTTTGTTGTTTTTAAAAAAAAAAAAAAAAAAAATACAATCTGGATCAATTTGGTTCATTTTTTTACAAATGAACTGAAAATTAGTCCACATTCAACATCTTCTGTATGGATATAAATACCATTAATAATCTTGACTAAAAAAATTTTTTTAAACAATATTTTTTATTCTGGATAACTGAATGGGATTAGGAAACAAGCTTAGCCTATGTAAAACACCTTTTTTGGGGGTGTCATCTTTTTAACTTGATTGAATCCAATCCACGTCTACCGTTGATATTTTTATTTTGTTTTCTTCATTACATGTAAAATATTAATTCAAGTATATTTTAACATGGAGTAAGCATTTTCTGAAAAATGACGTACACAGACATGAAGTAGTTTGATCAACTTTAAAATGTGTAGGAGTTGCCGTTCAAACATGACCTGCTGAATATAGAAACAAGTTTACTAATCTGTGTTAATCAATACACCGCTCCTCCCCACTGTCCTCCTCCTCCAAATAACAAATTAAATTTATGCTTAAATAAAACCACAACCAGAACTATACATGTAAATAAGATATTCATATAGAAACATAGTTTATGTTCATATAGAAACATAGTTTATGTTCATATAGAACATAGTTTATGTTCATATAGAACATAGTTTATGTTCATATAGAAACAGTTTATGTTCATATAGAACATAGTTTATGTTCATAAAGAACATAGTTTATGTTCATATAGAACATAGTTATGTTCATATAGAAACATAGTTTATATTCATATAGAAACATAGTTTATGTTCATATAGAAACAGTTTATGTTCATATAGAAACATAGTTTATAAGAAATAATATATTGCTATAAAAAACACATTTAATTTAAAAATAACCTTAATATTTGCATAATGTACAGGTTTTTTTTGGTTTTTGTTGAAACATGCGAGATAATTAATCAATCTCTTGAGAATCAAGATATATATATCCTTATTTAGTTACAACAGGTGTCGTAATTTCTGAATGTGAGGAAGAGTTGAGAATAATGATACTCCGCGACACAAATCATCAAATTATTATCAACTCTTCCTAGTTTAAAGATACATTATGTAAGATTTAGATAAAGAGCTGACCATTCTTGCTATAATAGTTCAAAAATAGATAAAGCAAAATTAATATATTGAATATTTCATTCAAATTACTTTAATCTGAGCGAAGTTATCACTGTTTGGTGTTGAGGCTTTGTATGACTGAAGCGTTCCAATCTACTTAAAATAGGTGGCCATCTGATAACCTAGATAGTTGATTATAGGCAGATGTAGCTCTTACATAATGTATCTTTAACACAAGGTACAATTTTATGGATACACATCCATAAACCCAGTAATTGTGTATCCATAAAATTGTACTTTGTGCTTAAGTAACAAGTTTTTCTATTAATCTTAATCTAAAAAAATAATGAGAAAAATATATTTTGAATTTTCAGATATCCTTTGTATTTTTGTATAAACATACTATGTGGTAATTAATTAAGTAACATTCATTCTTTAAAAAAATGTTTAGGGTTTACAAATTAACGATTCCTGTATAATATTATTACCGGTAAACAATATTTTACGGATAATTAAGGATGCAATCTTCAATATTCAAATATTTTAAGTACTAAACAACAAAACAGTAGGAGGTTGAAATCTCAAATCAAAAAAAATAAACAATGATATTTAATACCATATTTATTTTATAACAAATTATGCCATATTCATCATTTCCTTTATAAGGGAAAAAATAAATATTAGTCATATTCCTATAGTTGTGAAGATTGATGAAATGACACCAAAATTATTGCTATTTTGTTCGATAGATATTGACAGATCTGTTAAACTCTGGGAGATAAGATAAAGAGCTGGCAGTTCTCACTATAATAGTTAAAAACTAGATAATGTAAAGGCAATTTGCTGAAAATTTCAGTCTAATTGATCTACTATGAACCGAGAATTAAGCGATTGAAATTTTGGCTTAGCCTCAATCATCTGTTTGATAAAAAACATAGTCTCGATCATCCATTTCATGATTAAATTATGAATGGAAGTTGTGCAGCAAATCGGATCATAATCCAGTAAATATAGCAGGCTAGCGATGTCATCTAGAGTTGATTATGATCTGGATAAATTAATTAATGTCTAATTAATAATTTAGATAACATTTCAGGCCTAAAGAAAGACGTGCGATTGACAGATTTAGCTCTTGCAAAATGTATCTTTAATTCTGATATTCATTTAATGACCATTTCTATTTATGGTAATCTTTAGCAATATTTTGATACCATCACAAAATTATTGTGCTCATGAAAGAAATTAATGCAGTAATTGTGAATGACCGGTGGACGGCAATAATTTTATGATATTTAAAATCCAACCTCTCTCCAATATTTTATCCATTTTAAGAAAGATTTACAATGAGGTTTTGGCACAATATATTCCGCAGTTATTCATTATTTCATTGCCACTTATAGACATCACAATCGGATTAGAATACAGATCTATATTCCGTTTCATATTTTTATATTTTCGATGGCCAGTTGGACTGGGAGGTCGTGTCAGGGGCAATACGAGTGGCTTTTGACCCTATGACATCAGACATTGATTAATCAATCAATCAGCGTTGACGTTTCTAGTGGTTTACACACAGTTCCATGTATCGCACACCAAAAACTCGCTGCAATAGACCATTATATAACAACTCTACCAGATCCTAGTGTTGTAAAGACAAGTAAAACGAAATTTTGAACTATAAAAAACGAAACGAAATAGGATCTTTGTTTTAATCTGATTGTAGACAACAGGGAAATAATATATGACTGTATGATTGGCCCTTGTATAAAACCGCTACAATAATAGATAGCTGTATGATTGGCCCTTGTATAAAACCACTACAATAGATTGCCACTTCTAGACAACAGTTATAGTAACAGTAATAGGTTGCTATACGATTTCCACTTGTAGCCAACAGCTATAGTAACAGTAATAGGCTGCTTTATGTGACCCGCCTGCTGATTAGGGTTTACATCAAGTAACCAATGGAGACTACGTAAATCCTAGTTTAGCTAATCCAATCTGACGTCGTAATCGGGCTATCTCATAAAACGCATCTTTATCTGTTAAATAGAAAGAGAGAAAAACGATTTTCAACAGACAGTCAACACAAACCTGCCTCTGAGTTCACTAAGCATTCTCAGACTTGAGTTAAGAATTTACTGAAAATTCTCAGACTTGAGTTAAGAATTTACTGAAAATTCTCAGACTTGAGTTAAGAATTTACTGAAAATTCTCAGACTTGAGTTAAGAATTTACTGAAAATTATTTGCCTTATTTTAACTAAAATATAGCCCTTTATAAAACTTTTGTTGTTTTCATGTATCAAATATATCAATAAGAAACTATGAGCCAAGTTTTGTGTTTCTGGATCAAAGATATTTTTCATAAACAGTGATTGAAAGTTGAGTAAATTCTTAACATATGTCTAACAATGCTAGGTCTAGGTCTTTCTGGGACTAACATATGGTACATCTTTATACCAATATTTTCGCTGTGTTTGTAGGGGTCTTTTAGCTGTGGAAGGGAACTAGAGAAGAGGTTCGACAACTGACCCATCTCCTTGTGATGCTGGGATCAAACTCACAACACTTCTATAGATGGCCGACCTTTTGATGTTCAGCACACACATATTTTCATCTCCCTAGGTCCCAGGTCATTTTGAGACTAACATGGTTCAATTTTATTTCAATAATTGCCTTGCATGTAGGAGTCTTTCGCACTGGGAGGAAACCGGAGGACCTGGAGAAAACCCATGAGGTTGGCCAGGCGACCATAATTGTCATGTACAACTGGAAAATCAAAACCCTGCCAGTTGACTCAATTGACAAACCTTATGATACAACACGCACGCACTAACCATTTGGCCATCAAACCCCTGTCCGTCTCTTTGATACAAGAAACCCTTTCAATTATCTTCTATATATACATTTATAAACATACAAGCAACCAAGCTGACACAGGACTGGTAGAGATGTAAAACAGAATTAGTATCACGCAAAGCCAGAAGTTGAAATTTCAGCCCAAGTGTAGCCCAAGCCTGAACAAACCAACATGTACACCCCCCCCCCCCCCAGTTTAAGCTGTCCTTAAACCCTAAATTTCATCCTCAAGACAGCTCTAGTGAAGCCGACAACCCCAAAGAAAATCCTATATAAATACACAAACCTTCACTCTTCACTAGACCTTGTTGTATATACCTTATATAGGTATAAAAATCACAAACAGCTGCTATCTGAAATTACAGATATAATAATAACATCAGTATTTGTATAGCGCATAATCACAGTTTCCACAGTATCGAATGCGCTTTGAGTTCAATAGATTTGTTCTTGATGTCAATATCACAAAGGACCTTCAAAAAGGAAAGTTTTCAGTTTTTTTTTTTTCAAAAACAGATAGAGATGATTCTAGACATGTGTGATGGAGAGCGAGAGAGAGAGAAATTGGGTTTAACGTCCACTCAACACAAACTAGGTCATTTCGGGACTAACATATGGTTTAATTTTATTTCAATAATTCACTTGCGCGTAGGGGTCTTTAGCAGTGGAAGGAAACCGGAGGACCGGGAGAAAACACACGAAGTTGGACAGGCGACCCTACTCCTTGTCACGTACAACCGGAGATTCGAAACCATGCCAGTTGACTCAAAGACAGGCCTTATGATACAGCGCGCACGTGCTTACCATTCGGCCATCCAAACCTCCTATATGTGTGGTGGAAGCTGATTCCAAAGAAACAGCGCTGAGTATGAAAATGCACGTTTACAAGTCTTAAGTGTTACGCAAGGGATCTTTAATAAGTGTTTATCAAATGAACGTAAACTTCAGCTTGTAGTATAAGGTATTATCATATCTTGGATGTGATTGCGATTTTAGAACTTTAAAAGTTAATAAAAAAATCTTGAAATTATTTCGCTGTTTAACGGGTAGCCCACGTAGTAATGATAATCTGGCTGATATCAGATGATATATAAACATAAATATATATTTAATTGTCAGAGGTTAGTCGCAGCATTAACTGAGACAAGTGACACCGTTTCCCATGACTGCTGAATTGTTTCCCCGACAACTTTTGAGTTGTTCCCCAAGAATTTTGAATTGTTCCCAACATTTGTTGAATTGTTCCCAACATTTGTTGAATTGTTCCCTACATTTGTTGAATTGTTCCCCACATTTGTGTAACTGGGATACAGAAATAAACCTATTAACTCACCCTATTTCTACATAACTGAGAAATTGAATGCCATTCTTGATCATCATCTAATCTTATCTTATAATTACATAATTTGTTGGATTCTGTTAAAGAACATTTCCTGAAAATATCAGAAATAAATATACAATTATTAATTCTACAAGGAGATAAGTTTTGACACTATCATATTAGTTGTCTTGTTTGAAAACTAACACAATAAAGCGAGAGAGAGAGAGAGAGAGAGAGATGGGGTTTAGAGCAGGGCTTCCACTTCAAATTTTCACTGTCGGTCATTTTTGATAACGCACGAAAAACTTTTCAAAGTAAATTTATATTTCATGTTTTTTATTCATGGTAGGGTATTGTGAATTCACGTGTCTATACTACTTTGTCACCATGGGGTGCACAAAAAAAATATATTTGACTTCAAAATGAAATATTAGTAAGGATCATGATAATTATTTAATAATTAAATATTCCGTTTTGGCTACTTAAATAACGAAATAGTTGAACTGGCCGGAGAAAAACCATTTCAGTAGCTCACACGTAATTAACACGTGCTCTATAGAAAACACACTGACCTGGATAATTTTGAGTTGTAATACAATAACTTTGAAATGAAGATAAATATATAATTATCCATGGCATATATCTCACATTTGTTTGGTTTTAGACCATCTCTTACGGAATTACGGGCCGCAGAATTGTGACGTAAATCCTAATAATTTATAACTAAATGACTAACGGATAACTAACTTCACGGCTAGAGACACTAGCGCCCCCTAGAATATGGTCGTGTATAAGAGTAACCGTACACATACACAACATTTCTTCTACACGTGGAATTATCAATATTGCTGCACAATAGAACTGGAATACGTATTTTTCTTAATTTTTCGGTAAGCAAGTTAACTAATCTCTAGATTTTATTTCAACAATTTCCACAAGGCCGTAATACTGCTATAAACATTTTATTTTTAAATGCATTTTTCTTCCAACACGTACATTGTTGAGGATTTACGTAATATCTATGCTGTTTTTATTTGATATGACAGTTGGTTGGATTCGAAGAGCAATACTTCATATAAATTGCCCTTTTTCGAAGATCATAATAAATCGTTTACATTGTGCTTAACCGTAATAGCGGTAAACGGCTTTGTTGTTGAAAATTCTTATGACACGTGGACAATACGTGAATGATTAACAATGGGCCGCTTCACGCCATTGATTAGATTCCCACTTATCAATTAACATTTATTGCTCTACTACCAGACATTCATCATTAATTATCAACACAACACTCAGTATAATCTGTTGACGACTATATATACAACTCTATAACACCAATCACGAGATTGGCTTCTAGACGACGTGCATTCTTGTATAGTTACACAGTAAAGGTCGATCGTAGTCATGTTTGAAATTTTTTTTTAAAAAAAAAAAATACCCTCTTTCCGGCGTGCAAAATGACCGTTAGGTCAGATCTAGGAACGGTCATTTTCATAGCCGTAGGTCTCGACCGGCATATACGGCCGACGTGGAACCCATGGTTTAAAGTCCATGCGAAACAAACTAGGTCATTTCGGGACTAACATGTGATTTAATTTTATTTCAATAATTTGCACATGAGGTTGGACAGGTGACCCTACTCCTTGTCACGTACAACTGGGGTATCGAAACAAACCCAGACAAAGTTGGCTTGCTAACCTGGAGGTCCCATGTTTGATCCTTGTATTGGCGGAGAAAGTTCACCAGGATTTTCCTGGCATGGTTTGCTATTATCAGTGGTTTAGGGCAAAGGGTATGGCAAGGGACAATGCATAGTTGCTTAAATTGTATGTAAAAAAAGGGCTTGTGTACACATTAGCATACAGGTAAAAGAACCCTGTAAAAGAACCTTCATAGAGAGACAAATGGGGTTTAATGTAAACTCGACACAAAGTAGGTCATTACGGGACTAACATATGGTTCTATTTCAATAATTTAGCAGTGGGAGGAAACCCTCGGACCCAGAGAAAACCCAACCTACTCCTTGTCACGTACAAACGGGGAATCGAAACCAACGCCAGTTGACTCAATGACAGACCTTCTGATACAACGCGCACACACTAACCATTCAGCCCATCCAATCCCCCATTTCCCCACATTAAATGGTGTATGCCCGTCTCAAACACCATTTGACACACATTTGACACACAGACAATTGTAAGACATTCTGTTTAAAAACATTACCTCGGATATGAGTTATCTCCTGGAATCGGTTCTATAGTTAAACAGTTACCCTCTACACACTCCTGTAATCTTGTAGCTAACTGTAAACAGATAAAATATATCATTTATTGGTCAGACTATAGGGTATTAGTTTACCTGGGGAGGGAGGGAGGGAGAGAGAGAGGGGGGGGGGGGGGAGAGCATATCATTTACTGGTCAGTAGGCTACCTGGGGAGGGAGAGATAAAACACTTCACTTACTGAAGACTTTGTATTCGCTAGGCTCTCAAGATGGGTCAGTACCCAATCGCGAATTTAAAGCTGAAATATGCGGGGCATTATGTAAAGGGCTTGATAAGATGTAAAGAGTTCAAGCAAGATCAAATCTTCTACTGAAGATGGTGTTTAACGTTCACTCGACACATTTTCGGGCTAACATATTGTTTAATTTTATTTCAGTAATTTCCTTGAACATAAGGAAAGAGAGAGAAATGGGGTTTAATGTCCACTCAACACAAACTAGGTCATTTTGGGACAAACCTATAGTTAAATTTTATTTCAATAATACGCTTGTGCGTACTTGTCTTTAGTAGTGGGAGGAAACCAGAGGAACCCGGAGAAAACCAATGATGTTGGACGGGCGACCCTACTCCTTGTCACGTACAACCGGGGAATCCTTGCACGTAGGGTCTTAAGCAGTGGTGAAAAAACAGAGGACCCAAAGAAAAGACATGCAGTTTGACTGGTGACCCTGCTCTTTGTCATGTTATCTGGTCATAATAAATTACTAGTATCATAATTAACAAAAGATCATACACGGCTGAATCTATTTGTTAAGGCCAGCTCAATTTTTGTCAAGGTCGTTGAGATGTAAATAAGGTAAGGTTTTCGTCGTTTACTCGCGTCACTAGAGTCGACTCCATTGCCGAGTTTACCCGGGTGAAACATCCCGAACGGTCCGAGTAGTCACATGACATCAAAACAGTTACGACGTCAGTATGTGATCGAGAGACAGGCTTTTTTGCGTATAGGACGCCATTTTGTCACGTGACAAACCCTTTTACTCTCCGCTCAACGGGGAGTAAACGGGTTAGTCACGTGATGCGACTAAAGTCAGTCATGTGACCAACTCGATTCAAAACGCGAACAGTCTGGTGTCGACTCGAGTGACTCGAGTGAACAACGAAAACCTTACCTAAGGTTAGGGAACATGATTGTTGGTGAGACTGCAGGTTAGGGTTAGGGTAAGCATTGGGGCTAGCTCCAGGGTTAGGGTTGGGATTAGCGCTAGCCCTGTTAACATCTCGTGATCTATGATGAAAATTGAGCTGGCCTTATCATTTAGCACTAACCAACAAACACAATGAAACTAATATGAGACACAAGTTCAGATCAATGACAGTATTACAAGAGTAGTCTCCCTTACAAACATAATGGGAGGAAATCAAATCAGAAGTGTGGAATGAATGAGTGTATATAATAGACTATAATAATGTACAGATAATCTATTGGTTTTCTGTGCTCATGCCACAGACTGGATGCCGTGTTTTCCATTATAAATACACGTTATTGACAAGACTTACTTTTCTATTCTGGAAGTTGAGACAGGGTTTAATATCCTCATTAAATACACGACAGAAGAATGGGGTCGAGTGATTCATTTCTGGTTTCAATCTCCAGTTCTGGAATTCTTCCAAACAAACTGTATCAATCTGTAATGATAGTAAATACAATTATTGATCTCGTATTAAAGATGTAAGATTTAAATAAAGGGCTGACAGTTCTCGTATTAAAGATGTAACATGTAAATAAAGGGCTGACAGTTCTCGTATTAAAGATGTAACATGTAAATAAAGGGCTGACAGTTCTCGTATTAAAGATGTAACATGTAAATAAAGGGCTGACAGTTCTCGTATTAAAGATGTAACATGTAAATAAAGGGCTGACAGTTCTCGTATTAAAGATGTAACATGTAAATAAAGGGCTGACAGTTCTCGTATTAAAGATGTAACATGTAAATAAAGGGCTGACAGTTCTCGCTATAATAGTTCAAATAGTTCATTGATTCCGTATTAAAGATGTATTATGTAGGATTTAAATAAAGAGTTGACATTTCTCGCTATAATAGTTCAAAAATAGATAATGAAAATGGAATATCATTGATTCCGTATTAAAGATGTATTATGTAGGATTTAGATAAATAGCTGACATTTCTTGCTATAACTGTAACAGTTCAAAAAATATATAATGAAAAGGGAATATGTTGAAAATTCCAGTCAAATTACTTCATTCTGAATATGTTATAGCCATTTGAAGAAACATTTAGTCTTGATTGTCATTGCTACCATTGTTACAATAATAAATAAAGTCTTGATTATCCACTGTTTTAATTAAATCATTAACTGTCAATTTAAATTAAATCTGTTGAAAATCAAAACCATCCGAAGCTGAATCAATGTATCACGTTTCTTTGTTATGTTTAGTTTTGTCACTTCATTAAGTAATCTTTCACTCTTAATTATCCACGTCAAACATTATCGATAGTGGCCGAGAAAGTTCATCCAGATTTTCCGGCGTGGTTCTCCCTTGTCAGTGATGCAGGACGGAGGGGCTGACAAGGAAAGCTGTCTAGTCGTTCGGATGGGACGAAAAACCGAGGTCCCGTGTACACATTGGCGTGCACGTAAAAGATCCCTTGGCAGTTGGAATTCGATATAAGAGTAGGCCGTAGTGCCGCTGTCCGGGCAAAATTTCCCTCATAGCACACTGTATGGCGTATGCCCGTCTTCATTAGCCCAGGTTAGGAGCAGAAAAGTAGGACGTTAAACTCCATTTCATTTCATTTCATTTCATTATCGATAGGTACACAAACACCATTAAATTGTTTTGGTCCTTATTTTGATCCACATCAATATCGTGATATAAAACAGTTCTATTTCTTCAACATCGGCAGGACTAAAAATATCAATTATTCATTTATCCTGTTGTTTTCTTGGTAAATATTGACCTGGTTATGAATCGTGATACGAATTGTATCGCATCATCTGAATCGTAATAAGTATCGTATTGTGACATACCTCTTTACATTTGATTTTAGCTTGTTCTTGTTGAGCCTCGGCAATCTGTCGTGATTCTTTAGTAAATTCATGATGACTTGTTGATCGTCGATGTGTCTTCCAGAATGGTTTTATACTAATACTCTTCTCTTTCTTCTGTACGTCTATTTGTGGGTGTAGATGTTTATTTGGGGAGTTGGGCGTTGATGTTAGCACCAACTGTTTTAACGCTACTACCTCCGCTTGTAATATTTCAATCTACAAGAAAAAAAAAATCATGCACATTTTTTTTATTTATATAAGCAATATTTTTATTCAGATTTTTATCTGAATAGGGATTGGGGAACAGGTATAGCCTATATTAAACCCCTCTCCCTAATAAATGCAAATTTATTTCAACCATTTTGTAATAAAACCGGGCAATATTAACATAAAAGATTTGCAAGACCTGAATACATCTTTATAATCTATTTCAATCATATTTCAATCAATCTGATTAAAAACACAGATCCTATTTCGTTTTAGTTGTCTTTACTACACTAGGATCTGGAAAAGTTTTTATATAACCCGCGTTATGGATTATGTGAGGGATCAGCCAATGAAACAGTATGTTGCAGCGAGTTCTTGGCGTGCAATGCACGGAACTGTGGATATCCTACTAGAAACATAACGTCCACTCGACATAAACTAGGTCATTTCAAGACTAACATATGGTTCAATTTTATTTCAACAATTCGCTTGCACGCAGGGGTCTTTAGCAGTGGGAGGAAACTGGAGGACTCAATGAGAGCCCTAATGATAAAACGTGCACCCTCTAACCATTCAGCCACCACCCTCTGCAGTCTTGGTATTTATTATGAACCTATCATAAACCTACAAACTATGATATATAATCTACTAACTTTTTGATTTGCTTCTTCTAGAAGTTTTTCTGTATGTATACGTTTTATATTGGCATCTTGTACCATCTTATTCGCTTCCTGAAATAAAAACATCATAGATTAACAAACGCATACATATAACTATAATAAATATGATCGGGCGAAAAACGATCCCTTGGCAGCTGGAATTCAATATAAAAGTAGGCTGTACCGCCACTTTCTGATCAAAATTTCCTTCATAGCATAATGTTTGGCATATGCCTGTTTTCATTATCCCAGTCGGAGCAGAACTGTCGGACCCATTTCATTTCACCTATTAATATCGGTGGAGTTAACTCTTAAAGGTAGCAGTTTTCACAAGTTTTTGAATTGAACATCACAAACTTAAAGCATACATTATGCAAGAGCTAAATCTGCCTAATTAGACATTTATTAACATGAAAAGACCTGAATCAACTCTCGATGACATCTTATGTGTTCGATTTACACTGCTGCTCAACACTCATTGATGATTAAATCCAAAAATGGACAATCAAGACTACATGTATGTTTTTTATCATACCGATTTTAGTAATGATGATCGAAGCTACGCCTAAAATTCAAAAGCTAAAATCTAGGTCAAGAGTGGATAAATTTGACTGAAATTTCAGCAAATAGCCTTTACATTATCTTTACATTAATACCTCAAATAAACTGGCAGTTAAATCTTCTACTTCCTGTTCCATCTGATAGCGAACTTTAGATAATTTCTCACATTCTTCGTCTTTTAATTTCAATTCCTGATAAAATAAAAATATTCAAAAATCAATAAAAAAACAAATTTCCCCAACAAGATTTCTATTTGTTGATTTTTATTATCGCCACTTGTCAGAGGTGCAGGAAGGAGGGGCTGATATGGAAAGATTTCTAGTCTTTTGAATGGGACAAAAAAACAAGGTCCCATACATGTACACACATTGGCATGTAGGCAAAGGAATCCTCAAGAGTTGGAATTCGACATAAGAGTAGGCCGTAGCAAACAGTCAAGGTAAATTTCTCTCACAGCCAAATATAGCCCAGTCGGAGCAGATTAGTAGGACGTTAAGCCCTATTTCATTTCATTAATTTTCCATCTGTGAAGGCAGTATATATACATTGTACATATTTCTGTATATTATAAGTATATTACATATATATGTACTGTACATAGTTGAAATTTATCCAGTGAACCTGAAGTGTCAAATTTAAAAAAGGATTTCATTATTTAATATACATGTATGTATTTCTAAACAGGATATAACTTTGACAACTTGATGCATATAAAAAATATAATAAAGGTTTAGATAGGGCTGTTTCACACGGCCTAAGGAGACCTAGTTTGGGTGGTTACCGACAAGAGTAAAACAGTAGAAATAGTGTTATATAAGGAGAGAGAGAGAGAGAGAGAGAGAGAGAGAGAGAGTTTAATGTCCACTCGACACAAACTACATCATTTCGGGACTAACAAATGGTTCAATTTTAGTTCAATAACAAACTTGCGCATGGGGGTCTTTAGTAGTGGGAAGAAACCAGAGGACCAGGAGATAACCCATGAGGTTGGACAGACGACCCTACTCCTTGTCAATTAGAAGCGGGGAATCGAAATCACACAACTTGACTCAATGATCTAACGTGCCGAGTTAACCATTCGCCCCCCCCCCCCCATCTCTTAGTTGAGGAAATTGTATTTCCTTGTCAAATATCTATATAACTCTAAACATGTCTAATCTTTGTCTAGTGTAAAACATATTATATAATCATCATATTACAGCTTACTGTATCTGACAAACTCCCACATTTTCTCAAAGAAATATGTGTAAACTCCAGTTCAAAGGTCATGACAAGATACAGGTCAATAGGTTAAAAGGTCACAACAAGTGGCTGGTTTTACTCACCTTTTGAGCATTAGTTAATTCACGTTCTAATCGTGTAAAGGCCTGGGTTTTTGCTTCAGCCATTGTGACACTTTTACGTCTGTTAGGTACGCCATCAGAGTAGGAGTGACGAAATGGACGACGCTTTGTTGCTTCACCTAAATCAAGACCAACTTGATCATGTTCTTCATCACTGAAAATAGCAATTGTTTGAGAATCATATTTCTGTATTCAAATCCAGTAAATATAGCATCAACAATGGCATCAAGCTAGAGTTGATTATGGTCTGGATATGTAAATTTATGTCTAATTAATAATTTAGATAACATTTCTGGCCTATAGAAAGACATGTACTAGGCAGATTTAGGTCTTGCATAATGTATGTTTAATTAATAGAGAGAGAGAAAAATGGGGTTTAACGTCCACTCGACACAAACTAGGTCATTTCGGGACTAACATATGGTTTAATTTTATTTCAATAATTCGCTTGCGCGTAGGGGTCTTTAGCAGTGGGAGTAAACCCACGTGGTCGGACAGGCGACCCTACTCCTTGTCACGTACAACCGGGGATTCGAAACCATGCCAGTTGACTCAATGACAGGCTTTATGATACAGCGCGCACGTGCTAACCATTCGGCCATCCAACCCCCCCGTTTAATTAATAGTATTAATATGTACAATCTGATTAAAATACAGATCTATATTTTATTTTGTTTATTTTATACATTTGAAGGCCTCTACTACATGAAGATCTGACTGGTTGTAATGGAAGGTCGAGTCAGAGGTCATATGAGCAACTTTTGATCCTATGACGTCAGACATTTGATTAACCAATCAGCGTTGATATTTCTAGTGGGTAATCCACAGTTCTGTGTACCTCACACCAAAAACTTGCCGTTACAGACTGTTTCATTGGCTAATCCCTCACCCACCACTCCTTTGCCTATGTATTACATGTATGTATATATCAATAATTTGTTTTTAACACTTACTGTCCAGACACATTAAACATAAAACTACCATTAGAAACCAAATCTGGTAGTCTTGATGAACCAGCTTCTTGTCCATTACTCATTACTTCTGGCGGGGTTGAATAGACAGACTCGTCCAGACTACCACGGAAAGCTGGATGAGCAATACTTCGGCCGATGGAGGCTATGGCTGAATTGACATGTTGTGGTGTTGATACCATGGGCGGATTAAAGTTTTCGTAATTTCTGTTTGAAGTGGCGATGGTTGGAGCCACGTTTTGTGAATTTAATGAGAGCGATTGAGTCTGACTGATCACGGGTGGCGATAATGGTTGTAGACTAGAATTAGTTGTAGGACTTCTTGGGTCTGGGATCATATCGGGTCTGGACAAGAGGGGAACTTGGTTAACATTCGATGTAATATTTGACACGGGACCAGTCGGAGAACTGGTGCTGATTACTGAGACATTTGGCAGGTTTTGATGAAGTACTTTTCTTGTTGGGGTCCCTGGTTGACTGTTGGAACCAGAGTTGGACCGAGACAGAGAGACTGAACTGTGGGAGGATCCTGATGATGATACCGAACTTCCAGATGATGGTCGTCGTTCTGATGGATGCTTTCCTGATGCTTGTGGTGAGGATGGACCAGCACGGATCTGACGTGCTGATAATGGGGATTCACTAACTTTAATTGGAGGTGACTTACAACCAGAATGTTGAGGACTGCCATTTGATTTTACAACTGGTGATGTTGGGGACGATCTCGAGTTGACTGTATTATCAGGACCTTGTCTCACCCACACTGGTTCTGTCTCACTCGACATTGTGTTTCAACTAACTGACCTGAAATCATAAATAAAATAACTTTAAAACAAATGAAAATGAAATTAGGCTTAACGCCCTACTGTTCTGTACCAACTCGGCTAATGAAGACAGAGAGAGATAGAGCAATGGGGTTTAATGCCCACTCGACACAAACTAGGTCATTTCGGGACTAACATATGGTTTAATTTTATTTATATAATTCGCTTGCGCGTAGGGGTCTTTAGCAGTGGGAGGAAACCGGAGGACCCGGAGAAAAGCCACGAGGTTGGAAAGGCGACCCTACTCCTTGTCACGTATAACTGCAATCTGAACGACAGACTCACCCTACCTGCAGAGAAGTGACTCTGACACAGTGAATAGCCATGATATCCATATGACGTTATCTAAACGTCACAGGTCATTCGAGGTCACATCAACAAACAAATGTAAACACGATCATTATGATCATTATCAACATTACAAGACACAATGTTACATTGTAAACAATAGCCTTCTTGCAGCCTTTAGGACTGTATAATCCGTACAGAACGTCTTATCACTTCTTCCAATGATTTTTCACAAAAATATCATCATCTACAACTCTAGATTTGACGTCGTTATATTGGCACTATTTTGTGCTTCGGTCGTGTCTATTTCAGATATACACAATCAATTCTGTTAATGTTTTTAGCGTGGGGGGTGACTAAAAGTTAATTCACACAGTGAATAGCCATGATATCCATATGACGTTATCTAAACGTCACAGGTTATTCGAGGTCACATCAACAAACAAATGTGAACACCATCATTATGATCATTATCAACATTACAAGACAAAATGTTACATTGTAAACAATAGCCTTCTTGCAGCCTTTAGGACTGTATAATCCGTACAGAAAGTCTTATCGCTTCTTCCAATGATTTTTCACAAAAATATCATCATCTACAACTCTAGATTTGACGTCGTTATATTGGCACTAATTTTGTGCTTCGGTCGTGTCTATTTCAGATATACACAATCAATTCTGTTAATGTTTTTAGCGTGGGGGGTGACTAAAAGTTAATTTATTTCAGTTCTAAACAAAAATTTAAAACATAACGCAATTTTAAAAAATAGCCAAATTCTGGCTGGGATTACTGAGCAAAATGGCCATTCACTGTATACGTGCGAAAAAAAAAGCCAGCTACCATTTAATTTTCGTACGTTAGTTACGTACGGTATAACTGGGGAATCGAAACCCTGCCAGTTAACCCAATGACAGACCGTATGATACAGCACACGCATGCTAACCATTTGGCCATCCAACCCCCCTTCCCGGTGAATGAGCAAACGTCTTACTCAGTGAACCACGATAACTCCACTTTAAAACAATATAACTAAATTATCTTATACAGATGATGTGTCAAATCTGTAACTTGAATGTTTTCAGTCAGTTATAGGGTCATGTTTCACAAACCACTGTGAAAAAAACTTGGTAGTTTTAAATGAAATGAAATGAAATGGGATTTAACGTCCTACTGTTCTGCTCCTAACCTGGGCTAATGAAGACGGGCATACGCCATACAGTGTGCTATGAGGGAAATTTTGCCCGGACAGCGGCACTACGGCCTACTCTTATATCGAATTCCAACTGCCAAGGGATCTTTTACGTGCACGCCAATGTGTAAACGGGGCCTCGGTTTTTCGTCCCATCCGAACGACTAGACAGCTTTCCTTGTCAGCCCCTCCGTCCTGCATCACTGACAAGGGAGAACCACGCCGGAAAATCTGGATGAACTTTCTCGGCCAATGCAGGGATCGAACACCCGACCTCCATTGGTAGTTTTAATATGAACAAGAGTAGGCAGAATTAGTGTAAAATTAGGAGCATATATTATAATATTCCTATTTATAAATATGTTTTTTTTTTACTTTGAATTTATTATATCAAAAATATGTTCCCTCACAGTTAGCAGCGTCATCTTCAGGTATTTCAACCTGTCCAGCCTCTGCTAAATGGAGTTTAACGTCCACTCGAAACAAATTAGGTCAATTTTATTTCAATAAATTGCTTGTGCGTAGGGGTCTTTAGCAGTTGGAAGAAAAAAAAAGACCCGGAGAAAACCCACGAGGTTGGACAGGCGACCCTACTCCTTGCCACATGCAACCGAGGGAATGAAAACCATACCAGTTGACTCAATGACAGACCTTATGATAACCATTCGGCTACCAACCCCCTCCTGTTATTCTCCTAAGATTGAAAACAAATTAATTGTGCTGTAAATATACACATACCTAACCATTCGGCCATCCAAGTCCCTAATTATTAAGAGTAAAAGATGACCTGAGATAGGCTTTATCATTGGTAATTATCAATCAACTAATCATTAATCCTATATTCTGGATTATCAACTGGTTAATTAATTCATAATAATTGTTTGACACTCAATGTGATGATCAATCTAGGATAAATATGGTAAGAATTCTAAGATTTTTTTCTCTGCAACTTATAAAGAATCACAAGTATACCCAAATTATTGCCAAAATCAAATTTTATTGCCACTTTCATTTTTTTATCGCAAATTGCAACTTTGTCGACCGACAGTGAGAGCCCTGTCGCCCCCCCTTCCCACTAAAATTATTTCAGACATTTCTTTTGAAAAATACAAATAAAATCAATCAATCAATAAGCTCACAATAAATAAAATAATGAAGATATCCAATCTGTTCATCAGGCCGAAGGCTGTGTGCTAGTCCAAGTCGATAGTGATGGCTTGTTGTTAGCGTGTGTTAAAGTGTATAATTGTATTTTTTTATATTTACCGGTATATTGATAATATTATAATGTTATCATGTTTTATCGTATTACAGGGTGTGGTATATAGTTTATATCCTGCCTCTACCATGGTTCATGTATATAAGTAGATATAACCTACATATAATCACATAAACCATGATAACATTTATAAATTCCAATCAAAAATAAACCCTTTATTACAGTCTGTTCCTTATAAATGAAATGACAATAGGATTAAAATACAGATCTATATTTTGTTCATTTTTTATACTTTCAATGGCCTTTACTACATGAAGATCTGACTGGTTGTAGTGGAGGATCACATCAGCGGTCGTACAAACGGCTTTTGACCCTATGACGTCACACAATTGATTAACAAATCAGCACTGATGTTTCATGTGGAATCCCCACAGTTTCGTGCACCATATGCCAAGAACTCACTACAACAGATCGTTTGATTAGCTAATCCCTCATATCAACCAGAACGTGGGATATGTAACCACTCTTCCAGATCCTAGTGTAGGAAAGACACGTTGATCTATAAAAAACAAAACGAAATAGGATCTGTGTTTTAATCAGATTGGACTGAGAAGAACCTTCCAGATATTTCACGGAAAGCATGCCACACCATCCGACTGGGATGTACACATGGATTTGCCACATGAAGGACGCCTTGGAAGTTAGAAATTAGAAACTTGTAGTGGAAATGCTGCTATCTAGGCAACTTATTTCTACCATACATGAACATTGAACTATAGCCGTAGTAGCATTACCAAGTACCATGTGTTTTTCTCAAAATAAGCAAAGGATTGTCTTGGCTGATTATTAAACCACCTTCCATAACTCAAAACAGACCAGGAACTATTCTCTAAATCCAGACTTGGTAGATTAGGTCCTCGTATAAATGATATTTATATAGCACATTCTTTAAGTTAAAAAAACCTGCTCGAAGCACATTTATATTGCTCTTAATTGTAATACTTAAACAGTCAAGATTATAAGTGACACTTGAAAACAGATAATGATGAAGAAAGTCAAACATGCTCAGGAAAAGAAATGAAATGAAATGGGGTTTAACGTCCTACTGTTCTGCTCCTATACTGGGCTAATGAAGACGGGCATTCGCCATATAGTGTGCTATGAGAGAAACTTTGCCCAGGCAGCAGCACTAGAGCCTACTCTTATATCAAATTCCAACTGTCAGGGGATCTTTTATGTACACGCCAATGTATACACGGGTCCTCGTTTTTTTCGTCCCATCCAAATGTCTAGACAGCTGTCCTGGTCAGGCCCTCCGTCCTGCACCACTGACAAGAGAAAACCGCGCTGGAAAATCCCGATAAACTTTCTGAACCAGCTTCTTACCCACTTAGCCACTGTGGCTCCCACTCAAGAAGAGAATTCCACGAAGTTGATATATAACATATATGTATGTCTTATGTGTATCTGTTGAGTAGAAGTTTTATATACATGTATTGTTGAATAAACCAACATATATTAAATAATATCACAGTGATACAGCATTTTATCTATATTCATAAAACCTATTGATGGACATTCAATAGCATACAAAAAGGCTGACAAATTTTTCATGTACATGTGTATATAGTACTCAAATTATCCCATACTATCATAAAAATATAACCTCGACAAATGAGAGAAAGAGAGAAATGGAGTTTAACGTCCACTCGACACAAACTAGGTCATTTCGGGACTAACATATGGTCTAATTTTATTTACATAATTCGCTTGCGCGTAGGGGTCTTTAGCAGTGGGAGGAAACCGGAGGACCCGGAGAAAACCCACGAGGTTGGACAGGCGACCCTACTCCTTGCCACGTACAACCGGGGATTCGAAACCACGCCAGTCGACTCAATGATAGACTTTATGGTACAGCGCGCGCTAACCATTCAGCCATCCAACCCCCCTACAAATGAGAGAGAGAGAGGGGGGAGAGAGAGAGAGAGAGAGAGAGAGAGAGAGAGAGATGCTCTCTCCACATACATTGTAATTGATAGTTTCAATAATACAATTGTTAATAACAACAAAAATGTAAGATATAAATGTTATAATAAATAGTTAAAAATCCCATTAAGAGAGAGAGAGAGAGAGAGAGATAAATGGGGTTTAGGGTCCAATCAACACAAACTAGGTAATTTTGGGACTAACATATGGTTCAATTTTATTTCAATAATTCGCTTGTGCGTAGGGGTCTATATCAGTGGGAGGAAACTAGGGAAAACTTACGAGATTGGACAGACG